AGGCAGGAGAGGTGGGTTTTTATTTTTTTATTTTAAGCCTTGCCCAGTCCTTGGGTGGGGTGATGGAAAGAGAACAGGCCTTTGGAATCTCGCCTGCATGCATCGATTTAACAGATGTTAAAAAGCTAGCGTTTATCGAGCGCTTACTGCATGCTTGCCCGGGATCAGCTCGTCGGTTGCCGAGCCGGGATCCGAAACCAACAGGAGACTCCGCTGTGTTATTACCCAGATGTGAAGGCCTGTGTGTGCGGGGGCTGAGTTAACAGTGATGCGAACGGGGGTGGATGGTGCAGGAAAGAGATAGTTGTAGGGCTGTGTGATGGGAGCTAGGCAGAGGGGAGCCCGGGGTGGGGGGGGAGGGAAACACCTGGAGGGCTTCCTGGAGGAGGTTGCCAATAAGCTGAGGCTTGAAGGTGGGTAGGACTTAGCTGGGCATAGGGAGGGACAAGACCAGGTTCAGCCCTGGCTCTGGAGTCGCGGCGGGGGGGTGGTGGTGTATGTTAGGAGCCTTCGCAGCGAGGAGGTGCCGGCTCAGCCAGGACCCAGCCACGCCCTCACGCGCTTGTTAGGAGATGAGATGAACGGGTGACTTGGAAGGTGCCTGGCCCGTAGTAGGTGCTCAGGAGATGTTCGCGGCCCTCAGTCCACTTCCCACGGACAGGTGAGGACGTGGATTATACGTTCACTGCCGCCTGAGGTGGCAGACGGTGGCCTCTGCTTGGCCAACAGGGCTGGAATGACTTGCCCCCATTTATAAATTGGAAGACTCTACACTAAACCCTGAATTTTGAGCTTTTTTGAAAGATCACCAGACCAGTGACCGCTGTCTGCCCATCCCGGCGTGCCCCCCACCCCAGGCCGTTCCCAAAGGGGCGCTCGCGCTACCCAGCGCTGTCCCTCAGCCGTGTCTCTGTGTCTTCTGACCTGGGCTGCATCCCGCTTCTCGGGCTCCTGGCATCTCCCAGCCCTGTGTCCCCTGAACCCGGGTGCTGTGGAGACCTGTGCCATCAGTTTCCTCACGGCTGGCTGTCAGGCCCTGTGTGGACAGGCGCATTCGTCTCCAAACAGTGATGCACACTCGGGAAGCCAGTGAGTCCTCAGCTTCGTGACACGGAGCCCCCGTCCCTTTGACGGTGCCCACTGGCCACCCCAGACGCCAGCCCCTCCCGGGCCGGCAGAGCTGTCTCTGTGACTCAGGGCAGCGGGCAGTTTGCATCTTTGAAGTGTTCAACTCTCTGGCAAATGGGCCAGTACTTCAGAAACCAGAACATTCCAGAACATTCCAGGGATTAACGGAAAGCCACTAAGCTGGCAGAGTGGGGTCCTTGGGGAAAAGCTGCTGTGATTCAAGCAGAGCCCCTCCTCCCAAATGTCAGAGTGACCCTCAGAGGACGGTAATCAGATTTAGACACAAAGGTCCTCGGCAGCGGGCCTCTGTCCCTTGGAGAAGAGGCATCTGTGGGACCCTCCCCGTGGCTCAGATCCATGTGGCTGCCACATTGGGCTTCCACAGTCCAGGTTCTGATCTGTTCCCTGTGTGTTTTACAGAGTCCCAAAGTCCCTTTCCCAGATTCTTGATCGTTCAAGGCTGCACCCAATTGCTTCTTCCTACAGGAAGCCCTCCCTAATTCTTCCTGGATGCCTCCCCTTTGTCCCCCTTGGGAAAGTGAGACTTGAAAGCCAGGCTCTGTGGGCACAGCCCTGGGCTTCTCACCCCCGGCCCTGTCCCCTTTCCCTGAGGGTTCTGTGCACAGGCTCCTCTGGAATGTTCTTTTGAGCCAGACCGAGGCCTGGCGGTTCTGCAAGAGCATTTCTCGTTTATTCTAGTCGAGAAATCTTGGGTCCTGTTTAGTGTTATCTTTGATGTTCAAGGGCGGAGTGGAAACTTCTCTGTTTTCATGTGACCCAGTTTCTGTGCTTTGAAAACGCAGTTCCCTTCCTCTTGCCCTGCCCCCCATGTCTGAGACGAGGCACAGGGCCCCCCGGAAGCAAGTCTGTGTCCACGTCCCCGCTCGGCCTCCCTCTGGCTGCTCTGGCTCATGTCCCCGTGGGCGGACGACCTGTGTGGCATCTTTCCGAGAGCTTCCACAGGCTCGTTGTCACGCCTCACCCGCGTGGCTCACCTGTGTCCCGAAGCGCAAAGCCTTTTTTGTTCTCCTGGGCTGTGAACGTGACCACATCTTCGATGGCCTGGACCCCAACGGACCTCCATGGCCTCTCGGCCCTTCTGTGACATCGGCCTGGGAGATGGGACTTAGGAGCTCGGAGTCTCTGCCTACGACCTCAAGTATGCACCTCATGGACACATGAGGACTTCCTTTGAAGGCTCCCCCCCTGCTCTTTCCTTTTTCTGCCTCTGATCCTGTTTGGCTGGTTAAGATGCTCTTTTGTAACTCATTATGTACTGAAAACAATTGCTGAAATTGGGTGGCTATTTTCTAAGCTGGGCTGGGGGCCCGTGGGCCTCATCTTCAGACTGTGGCTGGGATGGTGGCTATGGCCTTGGGGATTAAAAGACAGCTGTGTGTGGGACCTGTTCCTAGTCTGCGCCTTGTGGGGGTCGATTAGGTGGGGTGTGTGCGTGGGTCCAACAGCCAGGTGGCCTTCCAGACCCCATGTTCTTAATAGAGCATTTTCCCTTCCCTTCCCTTCCCTTCCCTTCCCTTCCCTTCCCGTCCCGTCCCGTCCCGTCCCGTCCCGTCCCTTCCCGTCCCGTCCCGTCCCTTCCCTCTTTATTTGGTAAAACATACATAACAGGAAATTGATCATTTTAACCCTTAAGTGTGCACCTCAGTGGCATTCAGTCCATTCACAGTGCTGTCCAGTCCCCACCCTCCATCCCCTGAAGCTTCTTTTCATCCGGAACTGAAACTCTGTCCCTGTTAAGGAACTCCCCGCCCCGCTCCCCCTCCCTCCTCCCGCTCCCCCTCCCCCCCCTCCTCCCCCCCCTCCTCCCTCCTCCCCCCCCCCCCCCCCCCCCCCCCCCCCCCCCCGTTATGTCTCTGGATTGGATGACTCCGGGCCCCTCACTGTGTGCGTGGAATCATACAGTGTTTGTCCCATTGTGAGTGTTTCCAGGAGCTGATGCTCTCCAGGTTCACCCATGTGCTAGCAGGTGTTAGAAGTTCCTTCCTCTAAAAACAATTTAAAAAATTTTTTTTCTTTTAAATTACTTTTGAGAGAGAGTGTGCGTGAGTGGGTGAGGGGCACAGAGAGGGAGACGCACAATCCATCCAAAGCAGGCTCCAGGCTCCGAGCTGTCAGCACAGAGCCCGATGCAGGGCTCGAACTCATGAACTGTGAGATCAGGACCTGAGCTGATATCCGCTCAACTGACTGAGCCCCCCGGGCGCCCCCTTCCTTTTTTTTTTTTAAGTTTATTTATTTTTTTTGAGAGACATAGAGACAGCATGTGAGCAGGGGAGGGGCAGAGAGAGAAGAGAGGGAGAGAGAGAGAATCGAAAGCAGACTCTGCGCTGCCAGCACACAGCCCGACGTGGGCCTCGAACTCATGAAACTGTGAGATCATGACCTGAGCCAAAACCAAGTCGGACGCTTAACCGACTGAGCCTCCAGGCGCCCTGGGGTCTCCTCCCTTTTTCTGGCCACGCAGCATTCCGTCGTGTGGGCGCGTCACGTCTGCTTTATCCCGTCCCCCTCGGCGGGCACCCGTGTTATTTGCCGTCTTTTGTGAATCGGGCTGTGGAACATGGGAATGTGAGTTTACCGCGTAAAAAGCCTCGTCTCAGGCCCTTCCTTGGCGTTAGAAGCAGGCGGCCCGGGGCCCCAGGGATGTCCCCCTCGTGCGGGGCAGAGGGCCGGCTGTCCGCAGAGCCCTATGGCTTCCGGCTGGAGACCTGGCGGCCGTCATTCCATCCTTCGGGGGCCCTGACATCTTGGGGAAACAGGCTCAGCGGGGTTACCGGGTCTGCGGAGTTGGGGGGTTGCCCCGAAGCCATCAGGACCTGCCCCCCCTCCACTCTTCTGCTGCCCGGGATCAGACGTGTGCTGGGTTCACAGGGACTGGGGTACTGAGAGAGAATGTGTGAGAATGTTGCATGGAAGAGGAGACCTGGGCAAAGCGGTGAGCGGAGACCGTGAGCAGCGGAGGGGCTGGTGTGTGGCATGTGACCAGGGCCTGCCGCCCACCCAGGGTCCTCAACCAGGGCAGCAGGGGCCCAGGCCTCACCCAGTGAATCGGGTCGTGGGTCTGGAGGCTGGGGTGGCCAAGGAGCATAGTGTGACAGAGGGCAAGGGCGTTAGTGGTCCTGGGGGTGCCCCACGGCGGACGTGACCCCAGCCATTCGTCTGGGGGGCGTCTGGTGCACGTGCCCCTGATCCCGTCACCCTGAGCCCTGTGACTGTGAAGTGCGCCCTCCGCCCAGCACACACACGCGTGCACACACATGTACGCATGCACGCATGCGCACACGCTTGGTGCTGTCTAGACCCAAGGTCACGGTGCCTCCAGCTTGAAGCCTCTGGCCTGGGTTGTTGGCTTCTGTCACTTGCTCCAGTGCCCTGACCCTGGCCATTACCTGCTGTCAGGTTCTGTCCCCTTGAACTTGGCCATCGACAACAGCATTGCTTCAAACTCCGGACGCGCGTGTGCACGTGCTGGGGCCGAGGACACGGCTCTGCAGGGACCAGAGGGGTGCCCGCCTTTTCAGGCCCCTTCCATCCTGGCAGCCATGGCAGGGTCTGGAAGCATCCAGAAGCTTCCGTGTCTTACTCACGTATTCCAAAGAGCAGTGGAAACACACTGGCAGGGTCTGGCGGGCACCGAGAAGTACTTGGCAAGAGGGAAGAGCTGCAGAATGTATTATCTGTTCGGAGCATTTCCCCTCGGACTCTTTCTGGGCGACAGGCCATTTAGGGATGTTTGTTAAATGCTTAAAAAAAACAGGAGTTGATTCCTCTCTGTTTCCGTTGCCAACATGTGAGGCCGCGGAATTCCGTTCCCACTAACCCTTATTTTCCTTTCTCTTTCTGCTCAACAGTGAGTGACCTGCAGGAGGAAGGCAGACATGCCATCAACGCGCCGATGTCCCCTGCCTCGGCGGATGTCCACCCTGAAGACACCCTGCTCGGTACGGTGGCTTCTGCCAGCCCCGTCGCGGGGCAGCTGGGCTTCCGTGCCGTGTGACGGGTGCTGGCGAAGCTGACGAGGGGCACTGTGGTCGTGGCCTGTTGATCAGACATCCCACCAGTCTGGGGTCTTCACTCAAGGTCACGCTTAGAAAAGTCTGTAGGAAAAACCACATCTCCCTCTGTAAGTTTCTGCCTTTCTGACTTCAGAGGTGAGCCTGATTAGCATTTGAGAATGATGAGGCCAACTGATCGGGGGCTGACCGCCCCCAAAAAGATGACACGCACGGTTCCCGAGGTGGGGGCCACGCCGGGGCTGGGGAGGGGGCGTGGCCTTTCTTTCCTTGTGGGAAGGACCGGGTGGGGCAGGTAGGTGGGTTTGGGGTTGGCGAGGTAGGATTATCCTGTGGGCTCTGAAGCCTCTCCTGAGGGGTCTGAAGCTGGCCCCCGGGTGACTGGGTGACTGGGGACAGGTGGGCAGGGAGTGTGAGAACCCAGTGGCAGAGGGTGGGCTCTGGGTCGGTTGGTTTGCCCGGAAAGGGCAGTCACAGGGGACTTGCTTGCTGCCTTAGGGACTGGCTGGCCTGGGAAGGGGCAGCGTGTCTGGATCCGTGGGACCCGAGATGTCAGAGCATTAGCGAATACAGGAAGGAAGAAACGTAACCTGGACACCTTCATCTCTGCGCAAGCCAGAGCCGTCCCAGAGCCGGGCCTGCAGGTAGGACTCACCAAGTGGCAGAGGCCCCCACACCCCCCTGCTTGGGGCCTCCTCACGGCCGGCACCGATGATGAGGTGACAGGTGGCATCTTTTCCTTAACGCATGTTTTGGGTTCTGATCAATCTGAAAGGCAGTTGTGGAACATTCCGCTAATTTCCAAACCCTGGTTCAAAGGGAAGTCCCGGCTGGTCCCCCTTTGGTGGTTTTCCAGGACAAGGTCAGGCCCGCCAGAGGTGAAGCGGGTGCCGGGCGAGCTCCCTGACATCCCGCTGGGGTCCACTGTGGCCCATGTCTCCTCTTGGGAGAGGGTACCACTTCACTGTTACTGCTCTTGGTCGTATCCAGGCAGGTGCTCCTGGGGGGCCTCTAAGGGGAAAGTGGGGACTAGCCTGTGGGCCTGGAAATTAGCCTGACCCAGAACAGGATTCTTCTCCTGGGAGCTTTGGACGTTTGGGACCGGGTCATTCTTTGCCGTGGGGGCCTGTTCTGTGCATGGTGCGGTTTGAGCATCCCTGACCTCTACCCACTAGACGCCCCCAACCGGGACACCCAAAAATGTCTCCAGACATAGCGACAGCCCTTGAGGCGGTGGGGGGTCTGTCAGCCGTGTCAAGACCCTGCTTTGGACTCACAGGAGGGCTAAAGGTTAATGTAAACATTCGTCAGGCTATCTTTGCTGATAATGCCTTGAACTTGCCTTTGCCCAGGCCCTCACCCTCCTGTTTTACCATCTTTATAGACAGCTGCTTTAGGGCAAGGGGTGTTGGTGCCCTTCAGTTTGCTTCATTAGGATTCCTCTTGTCCCTGAAGCTCGGGTGACCTTGATAAGGACTGAACTGTTAGCACCTGGAACTGGGATCTGAAGGCGGGAGGGGATGTGTAGTTGGGGGGAGAGGGCATCAGACAGAGAGCAGCATGTGCCAAGGCCCTGTGGCAGGCAGTGGTGAGGCTTGCCGAGGGGCAAGGGAGGGCTGGGAGGGCTGGAGTGGACCGTGCCTGAGGCTGCTGGGGAAGCCAGGCTGCAGAGGGCCTTGGACGCCGTGTGGAGGGGTCTGGCCTTGGTCCCAGGGGTCCTGCGAGACTGCCGAGGCCCTTAGAGTGACATCACAAGGGATCCCCCGCATGTTACCTGGAGCGTCCCTCTCAAGCATCAGGTCTGCAGGACTCCAAAAATAGTTTGCTGCTTTTGAAATTGGTTGCGGTCAAGCCGGGTCCACTCAAAGTGATTTCGCTCCCTCCGGCACGGACCGGGCCCCAGAAGCCTGGTCGTGGTCACCTGTGTGTCCTGCGGGCCCAGCCCTGACCCGGCCCCCAGGCCGCCCTCTCCGCTTCCCCCGCACACCATCAGCCGAGCCTCCCACACCCTCTCCCGCGCACATGCTGGTCGGTTTTGTCATGGTTTACGCCTGGCCCCCGTCAGTCCCTACGGGCCAGCTTGCCGGGCCCCAGGGTCCGCAGGTCAAGGCCTGAACATGGAGGGGAAACAGGTAACAAATCAGCACAACGGAGCTGAACACATCTTACTGTGAACCCCCACCCACCACAGCCCACACTTATTTTTGCAATCTTTTCTAATTTTTTTTGTCCGTGCTATTTTACGTAGCGGTGAGCTTTCTCAGTGTACGTACTTGTTAACAGGGTCTGTGGGAAAAGCTCCCGAGTCAGACCAAGTGTGTGCCGTCCCCTCCCTTCGTCCCCAGCCGGGGGTGTGGGTGGCGGATGATGGCTGCCTCCCGTTTAGGAAAGGGCCAGGCCCACCCACCTTCCACAAGTCGGCTGCCTGCTCGGGGCTTGCATGACTTGAGTGGCGCCGTGCGGGGCCAGGGGTGTGACCCCACTGAGGAGATGACGGGGCTCCCTGCTCTCAGTCCGTCTCCCCCACCTCGTGCGAAGGACAGCCCACTGTCCCCGCGCCCCTGCACGCCCGCTAGCGCTGACCATGACCCTTTTCCCCGGCAGAGGAGAATGAGGAACGCACGATGATCGACCCCATGTCCAAGGACGACCCCAAGTTCAAGGAGCTGGTCAAGGTAAGGCGCCTCGGTTAGCGTGTTCCATGCGGACTACTGAGCCGCGTGGGCGCAGAGGGCAAGGGGCTGAGCCCAGAAGATGGTCCCCAGGGTCAGGGAGGCAGTGACAGGCCCCCGGGGCCCCCCCGCAGCTGTGGCTTCTGTCTCCTTGGCCTGATTTTCTGAGCTCATGCTCAGCGGTGAGGCTGTATTGTGGCATTTGTGTGTGTCTGAGTGCGGATCGCAGTTTTGATTGCTCTGATCTAAACCACAATAGGGCTTCAAAAGGCAGTCCCTCTGACTTTGAGCAAAGGCTCTCGGGGCGCTGAGAGTGTGCTCTCCCATGAGACCCGGCTCCGGGCCCCCAGAAGGAAGAAAAGGTTTCTCTTCTGCAGCTCGAGGCCAGCTCGGGTGACCGCTGCCCCCCAAGGCGCTGAAAACACCACGCACGGCCAGTCCATGCCACAGACACAGTTAAACGTGCTCTTCAAAGATGTTTCTCAACCTCAACCCCCGCGGTTGGCCCTGGGGTGCCTGGTACACAGCTCTGTTCCCGCAGGGGCTGACGCAGGGTACAGAGAGCCTTGGCAAGGTGTGTCCTTTTAAAAACTGACCTTGAAGATGTCCGTTTTAGGACCCGCCCCGGAATGTTGATTCTTCACGACTTAAACGGCCTCGTTTTATTTTATGAAGAGTTTTTTCCTCCTGTCCTAAACACGAGAGAGTTGGTGAGAAAAGCGACCTTCTCTTCCAGCCGCCGAGATGTTGTCACAGGGATCGCTGCAGGCTTCTCCGGAGAAACAGGAACAATAGAATGGATCCATCCATCCATCTGTCTGCCTGTCTAGGAGGTTTATTATGACCCATGATTAAAGTCCCACAATCTACCATCCACGGCCCCCAGGAAGGGGGGCGCTTTCATCCCACGGCCAGTGAGTCAGGAGACTGACGTGCAGAGGAAGGTGATTTTTGCGCTATTCAGGCCCTGGTGGATTTCAGGAGGCTCCTCCGCCAGGGGGAGGGTCCTCTGCTTGCCGCAGGGTCCTCTGCTTCAAATGCTAATCTCTTCTGGAAACACCCTCACAGAAGGACTGACAGCCAGAAGGAATGTTGAATCAGCCCTTCAGCCCCGCCGCGCTTCGTGTTCACCACCACCGGCTCCTTAGGACTTTCTCCTTCTTTGACATGTGAACAAAGCTTGAGACACAGGTTAACAGCAGCCAAGGGGGAGGCGCGGCTTCTCCTGACGGTGGCGCGGACAGTGTCACTCACAGCAACAACGTGACCCTATTCTTCGAGCACTGCCAGCCTGGGAAGCCCCCACCCCCGAGCCCTGGGGTCCGGAGCGTTTATGGGAGCGCCACCCGGAGGCGGTACCCACTGTGCCCGCGCCCAGCCCTCCCGCCGTGATGGGCAGAGTGTGGCCACGTTTGGTCCTTCCTGGCCGCCCGAGCTCCCGCCCCTCGTGCACCGTTTGGCAGGGCGCTCGGGTTCCCGAGGCACAGGCTGGAGTCTGCGCCTGGTGTGCACTTGTGGCCCCAGCACGGAGAGCCGTTCTCCCCGTCTCCATTTTCTCCTGCCGCTCCCCCTCCAGCCCCCGCCCTCCGCCCGGGCGCTGCACACCCCACCTGTCTTTCCCCTCCACCTCCTGTGGTCTGGAGCCCAACGTTTGCTTCTGGCCTGTCTCCCGTTTTGCGCCTTGCTGGGTCCCCAGGGCCGGGAGGTGCAGGATGGGGAGCAAACGAATGAGGCGGGGCTGGTGGCGGCGGCGCGTGGTTTTGCGTCAGAACCACGGACGAGGGCGTGCGGCCTGGGGACAAGGGTGTCTCCTCGCCCCGTTCCGGCCCTGCAGGCTCTGCGTCTCGGGAAAGGGGTCCCGGGAGCACAGGGCGAGGGTGGAGGCGCTTGTAGATTGCACGCGGACGCAGGTGGTCGCAGGCGTATGCCCTGGGACCCGGGGGTGTGGACGGCCAGTCTTGGTGGTTCCGACAAAACACCGCCATGCCCTTGACCTTCGTGATTCTTCCTGCCTTCCAGACCCCCCAACTGCACTGTGGACTCTTGTCCAGGCCTCTGGTTGATTATGTCTGAGGAGGCCTCAGCCAGGGGCCCCTGCCGGTGGTCCTTTGCAGGGATTTGGCTCAGAAACGGGGTACTGGGTGGGGCGCGTGGGGTCTGGGGCGAGGTCGGCTGACATCCGGCTGCCCGCCACGTCCCAGTCTGGGCACCCGAGGGACACGGTCAGTCCCCTCGCTTCCCTTCTCCGCTCTCTGTCACCTGCTCCTTCTCGCCTCTCGTCTTGGCCCCTGGCCTGTCCCCCCTGTGACTTAGCCCCACCGACCCGCTGCCGCAGAACCGGCGCTGCTTTAAAATACTGTCAGCTGCCCTCTGCTTCCTCTGAAGAAGCCCGGCTCTGCCTACGCAGCCAGTGAGAAGAGGCCGTTCGTTCAGAAATCCTCTCTGAGCATCTGTTGTGCGTAAGGTAGTGTGAAGGGGTAAAGGTGGGCTTGGGGCCTGGCTTCCTGCATTCGAATCCCGGCCCCGCTTAGGGAAGGCGGCGCCTGATGGTAAGAGAGGCTCCCGTGTGCAGGTGCGGGAACGAGAGCGCGCCCCGGGCAGGAGCGCAGTGGGCGGCCCGCGGCCGGAACTGGGGAGTGGGCGCGAGCCCGCCGTGGGTTCAAGAGCCCGAGACGCTTCCCACTGCGTCCCCTCTGCTGGTGCTTCGCGCTGCAGTCATTTTCTCCAGCATCTTCCGGAAGCTCCCTGCACTACTTAACAGGGCGAACAGCCTGTGTGGCCCCGGCGGACCTGCACTTTATAGATGAGGTACTTTATATTTTGAATGATGCTTGAAAGAGAGCGTGGCGATTGTCGCGCTCCCCTGGGACGGATGGCGGAGGAAGACCCCCCCTTGGAAGGATACTGTCCCTTCCTCCCCTCCCGGCGAGCAGATTTCACATCTCATTTCCCAGTTTATCGGATGAGGCTCTTCCTTCCTCCCTGTGTCCCTGTGAAGAAAATCAGCTGCATGTAAATGATCCTCTGGGCAGAAGGCGGTGTTGTTTGAGCCAGAGCCTTGTGGAGACGCCCCTGTGAGGCGTCCCGTCCCCACACCCGGCTGGGGGTGGCCTCCCCTCCCCGCCTGTTGCAGGAAAGCCCGCCTCCGTGGATTAAGCAGCAAAGAGCCTGTTTGGAAGTGATTAAAACATAACTGTCATAGCTTTGGGGGAGACCGGCCACAGATCCTGATTATCATTCAGAAGGAACTAGAGAAAACATAATTTTTTATTCCTCTTTAGGCAGGCTCGTACAGCGTACGCGCACAGGGCGCTGAGCCTTGGGCATCATTAATGTATATCCCAGACATCTGCCTGCCGGATTTGGGGTTTGCAGATGAGCACGTCCAAGAAATAATAAAGGGTGTTGTCTGTGAAGTCTTTTGTGAAGCGGAAGATTAAGAGAGGGACGAGACGGGGAGTTGGATGGCGGTACTTTGTGGTTGGCGTCCAGGCGGGGGTTTGAGTCTCCTCTGAAATTGGGTGCTGGATGGCTCTGGCTTCCCAGAGCCGACTCCCTGCGGCCTGTGGTGGGGAATATGCTCTTCGTCCCTTTCTGCCATGTTTTGTCATTGAGCTTTGATCAGGTCAGCGATCAGATGGGGTTTTTGAGTTCTCGTTTCTTCAAGGCAGAAACATTGCCTCTCGCATTTTCCATCAGGACTGAGCTCCGGTCATGGCAGCCTCTGGGACCGGATGTCCGGGTGCCCGGGAGACCCGCCCCGGGCTGCAGGCAGGGCTGCACTTGGTTCGAGCACCTTCCATGGGTCTGTTCCACGTTTCGCCACTGGGGGTGTGTCCTCGGGCAAAACAGAGGCCCAACCCTTGTGGAGCGGACAGGCCAGCTGTGGAGACAGGCCTGCCGAACTGTGGTCAGATGGCCATGAGCGCTTCGCAGGAAGCCAAAACGAGAGGCAGGTGGCTTCCTCTCCCTCCGTTGGAGGCGTGGTGGTCAGGGAGGTGCATTTGAACAGAGCGCTGCTCGTTGGTCCCTAGGGGAAGAACGTCACTGTGGGGGGAAGAGCAGTGCAGAGGTCCTGTGGTATGCGTGTACCTGGCGTGTAGAGAGATGAGCGAGGAGGGCCATAGTCAGAGATAGGATCAGAGAGGTGCAGGGATGCACCGTGGTGTTAGACTCCCCAGCAGGATGGGGACCAGTTCTTTCTAGTTGCCGTGGGAGTGCTAGGCGGCCTGACTCCCGTGTACACTTCCTGCCCGTGCCCTTCTCAGCAAGCAGCTGTGACACCCGACTGCCCCAAGTGGGGCAGAGATTAGTCATGTTTATATCTCTAGCGCCTGGGGGGCGTCTGCCATATGCTGGGTGGTGCTCTGCCACGTGAATCCCATGCAGAGAGTTCCAGGGATGGGCACACTCGCATCTGCGTGTCCCGTAGCTGCTCACACCTGCCGCCCGGACCGTCTCCCCGAAAACCACCTGCACGGGAGGTGTTAACCTCTGCCTTCCCGAGCTGCATTCAGTCACCGCTTTGCCGAGATGGAATTCGCGTACCGTACGGTTCCGGGGGAGCATGTCGGCTCCATCAGTCCCGCAGCCACCATCTCAGTCCGTTTGAGAACATTGCCGTGGTCATCCCTCCGCAGAGACACCCCCGCCCCCACTGACAGCCAGTCCCGACTCCTTCCCCTCCCCCAACTGGTGGCCACAGTCTCTTCGGAATTATTCTGTCTCCATAGACCTCCCCATTCTGGGTTCTCTGTGTAAGGGGAGTCCATGTGGCCTTTTGTGACTGGCTTCTTTCACCCAGCGTCATATTTGGAAGATTCCTCCATGGGGAGCCCGGGCGGCTCAGTCAGTTAAGCATCCGACTCTTGGTTTCGGCCCAGGGCATGACCTCACGGTTCGTGGGTTCGAGCCCCGCATCGGGCTCTTTGCTGCTTGGAATTCCCTCTCTCTCTCTCTCTCTACCCCTCCCTCTTGCTCTCTCTGTCTCCCTCTCAAAGTAA